AGAAATCATATAGGTATGTCCCGTGTACCCCTCCCCCTTTCACAAAATTAGTCTCTCCCTCTCTTCTGCCACCTTAAACTTCCAACCTCCTCCTCTCCCTCTTTCATTCTGTTGTGTAGGCAATTTTAAAATGTTCATTAATTTACTAATGGTATGCATGGAATTTGGGAGCCTATAGTGATGCTACTAATAGATAACCATGAGGGAAAAATTATCAGTTGGTAACATAGGAAAAGGTAAGCAAAAGTTTAGGGAAAGAACTAGTTTAAGATCTGATATGGGATGTCTGACATCTTTATAAAGTAGTCAAAATGGTAGATCTGGAAGGAAGGTGATCAAAAAATGCAAACTTAGGCAACCCCCTCATTGTATATTTAAAACATGAAACCAAGTAAATAAAATGATCTGTCTTAAAAGGGCAAGTTAGTGACAGCAAGCATGCCTCCCTTCCTCCTCCCACCCCCACCCTCTGCATCCAAGTCTTAGATCTTGATGGATCTGTTTTCTCTTAAAAAAATAAATGTAATGTGATATCACATATCAGCTACTATGTATAAAAGTGCCTTGCAGTTGTAAATAGGCAGTAAAAAGTTAGTTGATTCTGTTAGCTTAATTCTCCACTAGGGAAGGTTCAGTCAGTGTTTGTGGCACGTTTTATTATCCTTACGTTAGAGGCCTCTGAGGCAGAGTGGTTTCATCTGTATCCATTCTAGCCTATAGAATGTATTCAGAATTGCTTATTATGTGATCAATTAGACACAATAAGTATATTTCACCAGAGAGTAGAGGAACATAGAAAAAGACAGCTCAAGGGGGTAGAGGAACAAAGGAAAAGACAGCTCCAAATACTAGTTTGGGGAAAACTTTCTTTCATGAGTGGGCAATATAGTTTTTCAGTATTAAGATGTGAAGAAGAAAATAAAAATTGAAGACCATTCCATTAAGATAGTTTTCATTTTTTAAAAAAAGATTTATTTATTCGTACAGAGCTGGGATACAGGCCAGAGGCTCAGGGGTGGTGAGAGGATTCACCAGAGACAGAGCGGGGAAGATCGACGAAGTACACTGCTGAGGGGAGCAGCGGGCGGGTCAGGAGAGGTCTGCCATGCCATGTGGTCACCTCTGGGGCAGGCGGGGATCGAACTCACGTGGAAGTGGCTTAAGCTTCTTTGTGCTGTGCTTTAACCTGCTGCGCCACCAGGGAGGGCCCGATAGTTTTCGTTTTTCTAAGTTGTAAATGCATTTGATATGCCTAGTTTGTCATTTATTTTTAAAGAATATCTTTCAAATTAATTCTTTTTCTGGTAAAATTTCCAATGTGGGGAATGTTTAATTCTATACATAAAAATCTCAATTGGACATCTATCTGCATGAAGCCACATTGCACCTGCAGAGATAGCCATGGAATTAATGATGCTGTCATTATTCTTAATACAAAGTCCACTGTGTTGCAGGCAGTCTCACTAAGGGAAATTTGAAGCTATGTTATCCTCTACACTTTTGATGATAATTCAACAACTCGGGGTGGGGGTGAGCATTGGAGTCTAGAGATGATTGAATGAAAATACATGGATTTCGTAGATTTCAAAATGTGCTTCATGGTTACACAATGCATGGTAATGGGGGAAACTTCAGAGAACCACGCGTAGGCTGTCAATGATGGTGCTATCTATGCCTTGAATAGCAATCAAATGCGAGGAACAAAGACTTAAAAGTAAATTTAGACCAAGATACTTTGATCTCTGTAATTTAAGCAATTTACTTTCCTTTCTCATTCTTAAAAATGACAAACTTCTAATTTGAAGAATCATTCTGTCCTGTTTTGTCTCAGTGAAGGCATTTGCTTGTTAAGTAGCTCTCCTGGGTTTAGTTGCAGGAATATCAATTGGGAAAAAAATGTGACAAACTTGCAAAACACTGATTTTTAACCAAGGGTTTATATATCAGCCGATGGATTTATTATGATCAGTTTTAATGGAGGAATAGGGATGAAAACTAAATTGCCTGAAGAGGAGAAATTAAGTGAAGATAAGAATTGCAGAAACTGTTCTCAGAAACTTGTTAAAACAGAGGAGGTGGTAACTAAATTGCAGAATTGGGGCTGGGAGAAGTTTGCACTAATAGATGTTACAACAGAAAGAGAAGATGTAAGATCAGGGTTAGAAGTTTAGTAGTGTAGAGATGGGATACCCCTTCCATACCCATCACAAGGAGGAAAGGAGAGATGCATTTTAGGAACATTAAAGGAAATTCATGAATGAAGATTCTGCTGAAGTTTGAGATGAGGAATATTTAGTGGCATTGTCTGTTTAATTTTCTCTATTAGTGCTAAATCAGTCACATACAAATAACAGAGGCTGAAGCTCAGGATTACTTCCATGCCACCTCTTTAATAGAGACCTAACTCCTTTGACTTCAGGGTTAGCCCCAGTCATAGGGCCACATCTCCCAGCCACCTAGACCAGCCAGTTTATGGGAAGGACAGGTGACCTAAGCCAGTACAACTGGAGTCAACAGAAAGAACTATTATTCTCTTGTTGAAAGACATAAAGATCTAAGTAGGTGGCACTTGTTGTGGACAAGTTTCTCATATACAAACCAAACATGGAATAGAGATACTGGGGAATCAAAAGAGAAGAGTTGACAGGAGATGGGAGAGTTCCTGTATTCCCAATACCACCTTTCTATATCTTTTTATGATTTGACTACATAAACTTACTAGGTTCCTTTTGTCCTAACATGGTTTCTTTGGAAATTGGTATTTGAAACTAAAGAAACTTTACTAGTAAATGGGATATAGATATGGAAAAATCAGGATAGGATTGAATCAATGTTCAGTGGAACAAAGACTGGTTGGAGCACAGGTTCTGGGCTGCGCAGGAAAGCCAACTGTGGGTGTTGAGCTCAAGACAGAGAGTAGTTGAGGGGAGTCAGTTCTTAAACTAAGTGTAAGATAAAAGGATAGGGAGCTGTGGTAAGTGTGTGTGAGTGTTGGGTGCATTTGCAAAGTCAGTTTTCCTTTTATTAAGAAAAATAATGGCTCATCATAAAGTACTGTAATGATTCAGGAAAATCCCTTGATCATTTTGTTACTGAAAAGGAGAAGTATAACATCCAGCTTTTAGATTTTTCCTATTATAATGTGTATATGGGAAGAGGACATGGCAAATTTGTTGAATTTTACAAGATACTTTATAGTAGATTTTTGTTGTGAGCTATGTGTTCTATGTTGATGGAGTAACAAGAATTCTCTAATTTGAAGTACAACTCTATAAGCAAAATATTTTCTTGGCAATTTTTTTTTTTTAATTTGCTCTGGAGCAGAATGCATTAAGAAAAATCTCACATGCTTAGATATTATTTTCCGTTTTCTACCTTTTGAGTAAATTTTTCTGAAAAACAGTCTTTTCCACAGATTGTAGTTTTTCAGTAAGTTTACTTTTTATAAAAAGAAAATTCAATTTATATTTGTCTCATGCCTTGACTTACCTCTTATGCTAATTTTTTAAAATTTATTTATACATACAGAACTGGAATACAGGCTAGGGATGGGGGTTGAGAGGATTCCCAGAGACAGAATGGGGAACAGAACAGGCAGAGCAAGTGAAATACACGGCTGAGGGGAGCAGCGGGTGGGTCAGGAGAGGTCTGTCGCGCCATGTGGGTCAGCTCCCTGGCCAGGGATCAAACTGCAGCTGAAGCGGCTGCCGATAGCTTCACAGTGTTAAACTTTAATCTTTTTGCTACCAGGGAGGGCCCCCTTATTTTAATTAACTCCCTTAATTATACAATCGTTAAATTAAATATGTAGCCACACTGAAAAACTTCCACAGAATTCTATCAGGATACTTGCAGAGGGTACATGTACTGAATCTTAAATAATGCTAAAAATCTCCAATCTAAATATATTTTTACTGAATTTGGAAGTGTTTTGCTGAAAAGGGGATTCACTGCTGATGTAGTCTTTCTGCCTCTCACATAACATATTAAAAGGCAGATGATAAGACTACAAGGCCCTTGCCTTCTGTGCTCCCTGGAAACTTTCTGAACCTGTCATTTTTCTGTTGAAAAATGAGGGGTTGAATGTCATCTAATCCCCCATTTCAACATAAAGTCTTTGCTGAGCTTAATTGGTCCAAGTCCTACTTTGAAGAAAAATGTCCCAACATCATCATAATGCCATTATGCACAGCATATCTTTTTCTTCAGTATAATTTGCTGCAGTAAAATATCATTGTCTTTAATATAATGTGCTGTTGCATCTTTATATCTTAGAGATGCAGTTGGGATTTCTTTAGAACATCTTACTCAAATTTAGAGAGTAGAAGTGTAGAGATGCATTTTCTTGGGTAGTTGTCATAGTGAAACCACTATATTACAAGGACCTTACATGTAATGCCAGACCTGAATGTGACTGTCATTGTTACCAAGGCTTTATGGAAACGTCCTGTCTCTGCTACCTCACACACACCAGGATAGTACTCACTGCCTATAAATCAGAATTACCAAGTTAGGATAACAAAAACTTCGTAAGTCATTGCTATAGAAACTAAAATTTCTGAAATACTTTTCTATAATCTGTTTTCAGTGCTCCTTCCAATATTTTGTTCATTAAGTTGTTGTAAAAACAGTTCTGTGTATTCCATACATGAAAATAGTATGAGTACTCCAATATTCAAACTGATGAAACTACGAGATCAAATTTTGAATAAGAATTCACATGGTTTAATGTTAATAATGCAGGGCTGGGTGATTTACTTAGAAAGTACATTTTTTTACTTTGTGTAAAATCTGTTTCATGAAATGCTGCTCTCCCATTGCTCATTCGGGTGACCTGTGCCTTGCTCCTCTCAAGTGCCAACAGGATGGCCCAGGGACATCAGGCCCATCCTCTTGGGGAGTGGGGGGGTGGGGGGTGCTGGATTGACTTTGGACATTTGCTAATTCAAAATGTGGTACAGAATGAAAAGAACAATTCATCCTGGTTTCTCTCTTTACAGGCTCTGTACAACTCAATCAAGAATGAGAAGCTTGAATGGGCAGTGTAAGTACGCTGGATGCCAGCCTTTTAATAAATGACCCACTTGCTCTTTTCTTACTGTCTTTATGCCAGGAGGTGATCCCAGGGACGGATTAAATATGCATGGCAAGTTCTCATTTTACTAGTATCTTCCCTTCTTTGCATAAAATTTAGGTAAACACTGAATATCTATGTCTTTTTCTTGACACTCAGCATGTTTCCTGTTGTGCTTTTCATCTGGTTGCTATGCCCAGTAGGCAGTTAATAATCTTTTTTAATGTATCCTTTTAAAAAGTATTTCAGTAGAAAATCTGATACAATTACATACATTCAGAAATCTAATACAGATGATTTTGCTACTCATTTTAATTCTCTATTATAGATCAGGATTTTCTAATCTTATTTCCTATGACACTAACTTTGCCATGATATGGATAAATATGCAAAAAAAAGCAAAAAGGATTCTATAGATCAATAAGGTTAAAAAGAATGGATTAAATAAAAATGAAGGAAAATTTAACTACAAAATTCAAGAGTTTATCAAATTCCCACATCTGTTGTCAGTCTCCAGTGAATAGAATTTGCAATGTTTCCTGAACCTATTTGATAGAAAAAATGTAGTTTTCAGGTATATACTATGGGAGATACTATTACAGATATCAATAAACTAAATTATGTAGGCTAACAATACTACACTTGTTTAATTTCACTAATCAATGCAGTAGTTAACAATTAAATTTTAAAAGCACTGAGAATCGTTGCTAATTTTAAATGAAGTTATTGACAAATTAGATGAAAATATGCTTTTTAATTATAGAATAACATGCGCATTTTACTTTTGGTTTTCACTCATATTAAGTGTTCATAAATATTTTTCTACCACGACACATAATGTAGCAGTCTGCAATGAGCTGTCTTTTGTAGAATCATAACTTGGAAGTTAAATCTTACTCTTTCATATGCACATTGGGAATAGAGGACTTAGCAATTAGATACATCTCATGCATATGCAAGATTGAATGAAAAAAATCAAAACCACTGAATTGTTTCTGCTAATTGTAAGGTTAAATAGTACTTTAAATTAGGGATTCAAGGTTTAAGTTGAGACTAATATTTGCCTGCATGTAATGTGTATATGTTTGAATGTATTCAATATGTACCAAATAGGATTCATTTAAGGCAGCTTATACTTTCAAATAAAGTTCATTAAAATTAATAAAAATTCATAGCCTAAAATCTGAAGTAATTACTTTTGGACTTAACACAGAAATGTTCTCAAAGATTAAGGATAAAGTCAGTTATCACTCAAATGTAACTAACATTGTAACTTTTAAAACTCTGTTTCATTTATCATTTTCTTTTTCATTTCCCTCTTGTTCATATACTTTAATATCCACATTTATTCTTTCTTATCTACCAAAAATAAGGCACTTTAGCTGCTTATCATATAATTGCCTATCTTCACCTATAAAGAAATAATCACAACTGTTCTTTTCAATTTTAATGTTCTGTGAATTTTTTTAACTATATATTAGTATTTTTTGCATATTTTCTGTGAAAATAACACTGCTATATCTAGAGAATACTAAGCAAAAAAATGTTTATGGGTCTATGTGATATACTCTGAATTTCTGCAGAAAGAGAAGGGCCAGTCACCCACCTTTTTGATCATTGAGTTCCACTTTGATCATAAAACCTTTTCTTTAACAGCTTCAAAGCTAGTATTCCCAACAAGATACTTTAAAAATCCCTGTTGTTCATCAATTTGTGATCCTTCAGAATAAGCACTAAACTTTTTCCTTGGTTAAAAAAATGCCACATATATAATTTTATATGTAAAACTATAAAACAGTTGTCCTTATACCCATTTGTCTCTTATTACCCATTAATGTTGGTATTTCCTGAAGATTGGAACTTCATTGTCTCCTTTGACTAACAAACATCCCCTCCTTATTACTGATACATAAATGGCTCCAGACAGCCCTCCTTTTCATTCCTGCCTCTGTCCCAAGTCTCTTTCCTTTACTTGAATATGACTGAAGTACTCCTTGGCTCTAAAACTTCACTTAGGCTCGGCACATTCTGCCAGGAATATAATTCTTCACGCAGCCTGCATTTCAATTACACTGTCCCTGAGCTCAATTCCCCACACTTGCCCCACTGTTTACTGCTGCCTTTTTGCCCATGTTCATGAAGTATCCTCTGCTTGAAATCTGTATCACCACCTTCACTATGACACCTTTGTGTTTAGAGACTTCCATCCTTTAAAGCCCAGCTCACACCCTTTTCCAAGAACTTTTTCATGTTGTTACCAGCCAGAAATAATCCAAACCCTTCAACATCCACTCACTTCAACTAATGACATCATCAGTTCCTACTTGCCATTATAGTTATTTGTACTATTATTTTACACGACTGTAAGCTCTTTAAGGAAATGTTATATGTCTGCATTTGTCCCTTTGGTCAAAGGGAATTTGCGGAGCACTGTGCTTATGTAATCAGGTCTCCATAAAAGACTATAGAAAGGAAGTACAAGGATTGCATTTCCTCAAAGATCAGCCTCACAACTGTGTGGTCTAGACAACAGTAAGAAAGGTGCTCCCTTTTTGTTTGTAGGGTAACGTAAACTTGCATAGGTGCTTTCTTGGTGTTGCTTTTAAAACCTTAGAAGAAATACAGTTATAGGTTAATGGAATGTTATAACTGGAGGGATCTCAGAAGTTTTCAGTTCATTGGTTTTCCAACTGGATTCCACTGGAGCTCTAGGGTCCCAGGAAGATGTCTGGGAGCCTCCCTGGTTACTGTGAGTAAAGGAAAGGGGGAAGATGAGGGAATCAACTTCTTCTTGCCCATCTCTCTCACAAGCTTCAGTAACTAGGATAAAAAATATATAAACAGAATAACTCATCTAAGAGTGAACTGCCATGGTTCATCATTTTTAAGGAATAAAATTATTTTATTTCAAGGTAAAAAGTCAATGCCACTTTACCCTTTTAAAATATGTATTTGGAGTTCAACTTAATATTTCTTTTCTAGAAGGTATTATACTCTCAAGTTTTATTGTTTAAAACATTCTACTATCTAGTCCAGCATTTTTACTTTATAGAAGCATTCATTCACACACCCAAAGTCAGACAATTAATATAGCCACAGACCCAGGACCAGCTTCCTTGGGAAGTTTGGCTCCCCTGACAGTGCCCTGCTACCCCCACTTCTCTGGAGCCAGTCTCTAATTATAAAATCTTTGTTGGACAGGGACTATGTCTGAGTGTTTCTATGCCATCCACTGATACAGTGGAAATTAAGAGTTTTATACTAAATTTTTAATCTGATTGAGTGTTCCTGGAATTACTAGTGTTTCTGACCCTGCAAGTTAGGTGACAAGGATCATTCATTGATTATTCCACAGACAATCATTAAGCAGCTGCTTCAGACTTTGATCCAGGGTTGTACCCTGGATGCAGCAGTGAAAAAGATACATGTTCATGCATCTGAGAAGTGTGATGTATGCCTCTCAATCACAGGCTTAGCTCAATTTAAAAAAGAAAGAAGGAAAAGAAATAGACATAGGTTCTCGGCCAAATGCGAACACAACATTAGGTGTATGTGTTGGGGAGGATTGTGCAAAGTAGAAAACAAAAATTTCAGTGAAGAATGCATAGTGAAGGCCTCAGCTCCCTTATGCAAGGAAGTAGTGACCACTTCTTCCCCAGTTTCTTTGCTCAGTGGTTCAATGTTCACAAAACATCTATTTGTTAAACTTTGGATTAGGCAGAATCCAGATTTGTGATGAACAGAAGTATGACATTTTCCCTGGCTTTAAATAATTTTATATTCTAATACAAATGATAAAAAAGGGCCCTCCCTGGTCGCACAGCAGGTTAAAGCACAGCACTAAGAAGCTAAAGCCCCTTCTGCATGAGTTTGATCCCCACCCTGGAGGTGACCACGTGGCACAGCAGACCTCTCATGAGCTGCCCACTGCTCCCCTCAGCAGTGTACTTCCTCAGTCTGCCTGTTCTGCTCCCGGCTCTGTCTCTGGTGAATCCTCTCACCACCCCTGCATCTCTGGGCTATACCCCAGTTCTGTATACAGAAATAAATAAATCTCCCCAAAAAATGATAAAAAAGAGTAAGGAATAAGTTATTTTTTCACTGGAATGGGACAGAGTATGGTGAGTTGACCTAAATATGGGAATTTATAACTTATGTTAAAATTATTTAAAATTTAGCTATGTGAGAATCTTCAGAGAATACATGTGACAATTAACTGATAAAAGACAATAAAACAGTGCAATACTATTTATTAAGAAATTCATCTTTTTACCTTTTAATTTCATGTACCACAATATTTAAGAATTGCAAGAAACCTATGTTGCCCTGGTTAAAATATGTGTGTGCATTTTACATATGTGCATATATATCTGCATATATAATTTATATGTATATGTATATAATACAGATATATAATACATACACACATATATAATTCATGTATCCATTCTCACTTTAATTAGAACTAGTTTTAAATAATGTACTTTTGCATCCCTCTCCACCCTGTTCAAGGTAAGAGTATGAATCTGAAATTGATAACTGCTTCCAAAATTTCTCTACTGTGCAGTCTTTTAAAAAAGTTTTCCTAGAAAGGAATCTTTCTAGGTTTCTTTTACTTTCATCATTTCGCTCCTTTTCATATTAGCTTAATACTGGTTCCAATTTTATTTTAGGCAATACTATATGTCAATTAAATTGTAATTTCAATTTTTGCACTATAGGAAATGGCTCATTTCAAAAAGGTAGTCTTATTTATCTCAAAAGTAGTTTTCCACTAAGAGTTTTTCTCTTAGATGGTTTAAATGAACCACTCTAGATTACAGCTATAATTTAATGCTCTGCATTTTTAAAACCATTTTCTCATTTGCTATAATTCTCTCTGATTTTTTGTTTGCTAACATTGGAGTTTTCCAGGAAGAGTTAAAATTCCCTATGTGTGGCTTTTAAATTTAAGCTTATTATCCTAAAGA